GAGCTGCCCACGGGCCCTCAGCTTGTGCTGAAGTTGCTGTCACAGTGGCAGAGCCCCATGATTCCCGCAGCACTGAGCAGCATCTCAGCCACATACTGCTAAAGCTACCGACCCAAAACGGACACACGACCGTAAAAGGGCGAAGCTTAGACCCACCGCTGCACTTGAGAAGAGGCAGCAAGAGTGGTGAGTTCCACTTCACGGAGTTCTCACATGCGTCAGCCAGCAACAGCCAGCCCGAGCTGAGCAAGATGCACTGCTTGGAGCGTTATTCAGACATGCTGAATGGCAGCAAAGGCAGCATGGAGGAGCCGGTACCACCAGCGCTGCCAGCATGCGATCGCATCTCCTCTGCAGCCTGCAGCACACACACAGGGCAGCAGAAGGCTGCATGTTGTGGACAAGTTTAAAAAAAGTTCTGTTGAATTGCCCAAAACCAAAAATTTTCATGCCCAAGAGAACCACCTATTGTATACATCACAACCGTTTTCAAAGGGGACTAAAATTAAACATGAAAGATTCACATACACAAGGAAAAACTGCTGACTTCATAATTTAACAGAAAAGCTTCTACTAAGGCAATAGACATGTTATGTGAGGTTAAGGCTACAGATTTTCCCCAAGTCTAGCTGACAAGAGCATTTGACAAAGGGTAACGAGATGACTGCTGTCTTAGCCAATCCTGAGAAATCCTGTCCCACCAATAGAGAACATCCACCCTGTCCCACCAATAGAGAACATCCACCCTGTCCCACCAATAGAGAACATCCACCCTGTCCCACCAATAGAGAACATTCACCCTGTCCACTAAAGCAGTACACCCACAGCCACCCTTTTAGGATACCCCACAGCTCAGAACCTGAGGGCAAATAAATCATCAGGGACACAGGGGAGGAAACCACAAATGGAGCGTTCAGAACCTCACCCACTGACACCAAAGAGGTGGACGCACAGCAAACGGACCCATTAGGACCGGCAGAAGATACCGCCCTGGCGATCTACAGATTTACAAACGCTTAAAATCAGGCCAATTTTAGACACTCCATCTGTTCCTGAGTGCTGACGATAGCAAAGCCAGAACACAAGCGCTCAAGGTGAGATGTGTAATTAAAAATGTATCATTTTAAAATTGAGTATGCTAGGATTTGCGGGCTTTGCTTCAGGCAGAGGAAGCCCAGTGCCTTATTAAGGGCCGCGTATTTATTGTCGTTAGCAAGACAACTGGATCCAAATGAATCCCAATAAACGACTGCCGCTAAATCACACTCAATGATGGATACTTTGCGCAAAATGTTGTCACTGCTGGATGGCGACGCCAGTGAGCGTGAACGAGAAAAGGCTGCTGGATAATTTATGACACTCCGTGATGTATTTTCAGAGTCAGCGTGTGCCGTGAAATATATCATTATGACACATAACACTTTAATTTCATATGAGACTGCGTGTACGGCACCGCAGAGCTTTTCCCCTCTGAGTTGTACGATCTCATGTGTTGTTTCTGCGCTTTTCTAAGGAGGACAATGTGCTACGCGACAGCTGTGTGGACAGAAACCTTGGAGAAGGATGCAGTGTGATCTGGCCAACTACTCATGACTAGGGGAATTTCTCAGAGAAACCTCTTCAAGATTGTCTAGGGCAAAAGTTCTCAACCTTATTTGTACCAAGACCCAATTTTCCACCATGCCAGCTCTGTCACAGCCCTATATTAAGTATAGGTTTAAAATTAACGCAGTGCACACTGCAATTTACACCAATCAATGCCTATCGCAGAAATCTGATTGGGTGTGCCTATGAATTTTAAATTAAGCATCTGTGGTTTGGCTTCATGGATTGGTTGAGTGTTCATTAGTTTTGCACTAAGCATTTGCAGACCCAAGAACCATTTAAATAGGTTAATTCTAGAATTGGCACTGGGAAATATGATCGTGGATCAGCATAAGGTTTTGGTATTTTAAAAATGCATACATTTCCAAAACTGCCTCAAGACGCTTTAAGAACTTGCCACAACCCAAATGTGGGTAGTGACCCATGGGCTGGCAATCACTGGTCTAGGGTAGCCCAAAATAAGTGAACAGATCACCACTCCTTGCAGACATAAACCTGGACACATACCATTAAAGGCACTGTGGTTAGCTAAAGATGGCGGCACCAGCTTATGAACATGAAAGGCATAGACATGGAACAAACTAGTCAAAAACATTGACACTGTCCAAATCAAAGGCCTCTAGAACTAGCAGCAAAAGCTAAAATCCTTCTCTACATTAGTAAGCAAGCCCGACCAGGAGACCTGCCAACACCAAGCCTCAAACACAGGCCGTTCCCCTTTGTTATAAGGAGAGGTGCAGCAGCGCCCTGCGGCTGATAAAGGGCTCTGATGTTACCGCCCAGGGGGGCACAGATTCAGGGCCTCAGGCTCCGACAAAAAACGAAATAAAGGACGCTCTAATTTTAGACTATCGGGCATGTCAGAGCCAGACCATCCGTTACCCCTCGTCGTCTATGCTTGGCGAGACTCTTAAATAAATGAATAAGAGGAAGATCCAATGAGTAAAAATGGAGGGAAAAATGTCTACAGCAGCAGGCTGCAGTGCATCTTCCGGATGCGGGCTCACTCTAGCTTTGGGTCGGCCGCGGCATTGGCAAGCTCCTAGCGTGTTTCAGCGCCTCAGTCAAAGGTCTCGTCTGAAGACAGCACATCACCCAGTTCTGGCAGATGAATGGCCCCTGGGTGCGGGACTCGGATCAGAATACGTCCTTCAACCGGCGCCGAGATACAAAGCAACCCAATTTTTGAGATTCATGGTCCCCAACAGTAAGATATAAATATAACAAATATAAGAATCATAATATTTGGACATTGTAGCAGCAAGAATAGCACTACATAACATTCAGGTAAATTTATTTTTAAGTATTATTGGTAGGTATAAATATTCTGTATTAAACAAAATGTGGGTCTACATCCATAAACAGGCACATAATTCAATGTAAGGACATAATTTAGAGCAAAACACAAAAAAGTGGTGCCACGAGCATAAAGATGATGATGATAATGATGATAATGATGGTCACCAGATTAGGCTCCCCACAGATTTTCTACTTTTCACCCGAGGTCATTTACTCCCCATCATGGTAATGCTCGCAGTGTCATACTTCAGGTCATACAAAAGGTAATTCAAGACATCTACTTGAGAGTCAGGGGGGGCTGGTAAGCCTTGGGTGGCGGCAGATAGCGGCATTACATAGGGGAGGTTTAAGAAAGAGAAGAGATGGAAAGTAGCAGTGAGTTTCCTCCTGGAGAAGATGCATCAAATATGGGTCTGAAGAAGCTGCCATAAGTGCCACCAGTAGCATCATGGGGTGTGGCCACCCCCCCCCCCCCCACCCCCCGGCTGAAAAGAGGAACCACAGGCAGCACTGAGCAGGACCATAAACACAGGACCTCCATGTCCTCCAAGCTGGGGCCAGCCTTCAGAGAACAGACTCCCCGAGCACATCAGCCAGCAGCCAGCTAACTGACCCGCTGAGGCTCACGCAGACACCGCGCGATTCCAGGTGGCTGAGATCGGGAACATGCACACAAAGCTGGAAGACTGAGGAGGAAGGATCCAACAAGTGGAGGCGCTGTGAGAGCAGGCAGCTCCAGCACGCTACGACACAGTGAATGCAAAAGCGAAGCTGTCAGGGCTGGAAGGAGGTGTGTGTGGGGGGGGGAGTCGACGTCCCATCAAGAGCCTGATCAGCAGCCGGACAAGCAGACACACACACAGACACACACACACACTCAGCCAGAAGTGGTACAAAAAATACAGACCCAGAAAAAACTAATGATCAATAATAATGCCATAATCAAATTAAAGAAACATAGCTTATCAAAATTTCCCTGAGCACTCCAGCACAGTAAAAGTTGACACCACAACAAACCTCTGTTAAATTTCACATCAACTCATATTTTTTCCAGATCATAAGGTAAGGGATGGCATGTATTCTAAACCAGCGCTTAGTGGCAGCACTTAAAACATCTAAACTTCTATAGAATGAAAAGGCTGCCTAAAAGCCTTAATGGTTACACCCAGCCAATACCCATGGAAAAAGCCAAAAATGGCTCCATGTTTCACTGGCCTGACCAAGAGAGGAACATACTAAAAAATAAGCCCTCTGATTGGCCAGCGGCTGTCTCAAGTGAGTCGCCTGTCGTCCAATCCCGCGATGCCAGCTCTTGGAACGAGTGTGGCAGCAGGGCTTGCAGCACAAGGGGATGCTGCTGCAGAGGCTTGCCCACCCACTGGAGTGCTTACTCATCTGTTTCACTGCATGCTTTTTCCACCCCCGTGCCCCCCCCAGCCCTTCTCAACATGAATTCAGTGACCATAGAGCGAAGATGAAATTAAATATTGGTTGACTGGCAAAGAAAGTCCCTGTAAAAACCTGGCAAGACCATATGAGGAGTGAGCGACTCTCTCCCGGATGCTGAATAACACCGAGAGACACCCACAGCCTGCATGGCCTCGGGGACGCCAGAGCCTGCTCAGCACACAGTGACGTGCTGGGCTTACACAGGCAGTGACGACGGGGCCACGGGGGGCCACACAGTGTATACCTAAGTGTAACGACTGATCTCATGGGAGAGTGTCCCACAGGGAGCTGCAACAATCTCTCTCATGAGGGGCAGTGACCAATCATTTCCACAAGACTGCGTGTCTCTTGGGGAGGGGTGGGGAATCATTTTCACAAAGATGTGAATCTCTGGGATAGGCAAGCCAATCACCTTCATGAGGAGGTGTGTCCCTCAAAGGGGAGGGAAGGCCAATCATTTTGAAAAGGAGGCGTGTCTTTATGGGAAGGGAAGGCCAGTCATTTTCATGAGGAGTATGGTGTCTCTCAAACGGGTGGGAGGTGTGGGGTAGTTGCAATCATTTTCACAAAGAGACGTGTCTCTCGAGGGGATTAAATGATCTGTCTCACAGGGAGGATGGTCTAGAGGGGTGACTGACTGCTCTCACCGGTAGGCTGGAGGGTCTGTCCTCCTGTGTGAGACCCAAGTCCTCATTGGGCTTCCCAGCGGTGACCGAGGTCTGGCCCATGCTTCCATAGCTGTCTGATGAAATCTCCTGGAGAAAAAGGGAAAACAAACCATCTTACAGCTTCAGTTAACCAATGAATTAAACACTCCTTGTTTAATACCTCCTGACAGCTAAAACCTGTGTGAAAGCTACTCTCTCCCTATTCTGCAGAGTTATGTTTTATTGTGTTGGTTTTTTTTTTTTTTTTTACCTTTGGAGGCAACATAAATCATTTTTGTCAGGCTGGTGAATGATGTTATACATGAAAGTAACAAAGATGCTCCAGCAAGTAAAATCATACTGCTAAAAGCTTACCGAGAAACTGAGGGGAAAGTACGGCACTTAAAGAGCCCAACCAAGGCCGAGTCCTCAGGCGACAGACTGACTAAAGATGCCTGACTGGGCATTCAGCTTAGAGTGGCACTCTCCCCCCCCATAAGAAAGGACTGACGGACACACAGGAACACTGTGGGGGGGCCCTCATCTCTTTTCCCACAAGTCCTTAAGGTTCAGGAGATTTGGTCTTATCAGAAAATCTAGCAAAGTATTATTCTCAGTATCACAACTTCAGAGACCAAAGAGGCACGTGCAGGGTCACAGAAACACAGCAAGGCAGAAATACTATGATGTGTAAGTCACTTCCAGCAGAAATCAGAAGTACCACAAGAACCCTGGAAATGGCTTTGCAAGCCACAGACAGGCAGAGGGGCCTTAAGCTGGAGCTACACGTCAAATGGCATTTGGACAAAAACGCACCGTGTCGGCCAGAACAATCTGTCGCATACTTAAAACGCCGTTACCTCCTTGTTCATTCTATGTCACGCCACAACCCCAGAAGGCACACAATGTTTTCAGTGCAGCAGAGCCACATTTAGAGCACAAATAATTGTATTGTGAGAAGTGCAGGAGTCGTTTTAATAAAGGAGATGACAGCTCTTTTAAAATGGAAGTTGCTCTCTTCATTAACAGTAAACTACTGGTTTAATACTAGCAGTGGTACAGACAGGGAACCCAACAATTTAAATGACACTCACAGTCACACACCAAAGAAACAAGCATTCCACGGAAAAAATTACACATTTAAGGCATTACTATAAACAGAAATGCACGAGTGCACATATCAAGATACACTATTTAAAGTGCAGTGCAGTGTGAAGCATGCTAGTAACTGAATAATTAGTCCTGCTGACCAAGACCACGGCATCACATTTATGTCAGCCAATCGTGGACAGCGGGTGGGATCAGAACAAATTAAAATGTTTGCCTTCAGGACACTGTACAGGCAGTACACTGGAACTGTGCCAGTTCCCTCGATTTCGTCTGAAGTTTTAGGCAGTTACCTCTTTCCCATTTAAAGCACAAAGCCTTCTACCAGATTAATAGGCATTTTGACACTGCCAGAACCAGAACCTTTTTCCGGAACCAGGGAGTTTTGTCGTGTTTACACCGCAGGAACCTGGCCTGATTGTAGATCCTCGGAGACAGTTCCGAAACCCTTTTTTAGTACCTACTCCAGACTATGTACTTTTTCTTTAAACATGAACTACTGAGACAGCACTTACAGTGATAAAGTTGCTGACTGGCTTGACAGCAAGCACCAGTGCTAACATGGTAGTTACATGGATGTGCAGAAAGAGAGATGTGGCGGAGTGAAAACTGAGCAGATGGGATTATTTTTGTACATTTTTTTTGCTTGCTTCTCCAAAATTCTTCATCGGAAAATTTGTTCACTAACCAATATACTTGTCTAATATCGCTGGTGAAACTTGCTAGCGTTTATTAGTGGGATAACATAACATCTTTTTTTTATTAAGTGGAAAACTAAAGATCGATCTGCTGGCCAGATTTAATAAAAATCATGAACATGTCATGGGCAATAAAAGTAAATCATAAATAAAAGGCTGTGTCCTGTTTTGATCGCAATCGATCCCCCCAAAAACTAACAAATAACTAATTAAATGACTTTATCCTCCATTGTTTTGGTGTGATGCTGTAGTTTTGTATGAAATAATGTGTTAAGTTTAACCTACGAACTTTCTGCACCTCCCATTCTTATTTAGCATAAAGGTCCCAGTTCCTGCTGTGGTGCGACAGCGACACACAAAAGTGGGCAGGTGCTACAAAAGTTCCCAGCCCTGACAGCAGAGGGACTTAGGAAACGACAAACCAGGAATAGGTAAATGTCCAGGGTAAATGTGTGTGCGGGTATGCCTGTCACCTTGCCCCCCATTGGGTGAGGATGGGTAAAGGCATTTCTTAGTCTGCTATTTTTTTCCCTTCACGCTACCTGACCCCATTAGCATAGATGAAATACAAGTCCTAAGACACCAATGACAAAGAATAAAAAATTTAAACTAAGAAAAGCTATTAAATCTCTCGATTAGTCTCATGAACAGTAGCAATACTGCTCCAAGGACACAGGGGCTGCAGCTTTGCAAATCACAGCCCCCAACAAGTAAGGGTGTCCCAGATTTTAGATGGAGATAAGAGTGACAGGCGTGATGGGGGAGAACCGCTGGCACAGGTAAAGACAGTGCCTCAGCCACCCACTGATGTCCACTGGCACAGGTAAAGACAGTGCCTCAGCCACCCACTGACATCCACTGGCACAGGTAAAGACAGTGCCTCAGCCTCACGCTTATGTCCACTGACAAGGGCTGCAACTATTATTTTGGTAGTCGACTAATAGTTCAAGTTTTCTGTTGATTAGTCACGTTTATTTCATGCATGACTATTTTGATGCATGCGACCCGTGGTTGCATATCCTGTTTTAGGCTCCAGTGCATGTCTTACCTCATCTGCTCACGTATGTCCCCCTGTGAATGTCCCCCTGATGTGTCTGCATTAAGACTATTCAAATTTATAATAATCAAATTAAAATAACCAGCGAAACATATGAATTTGAAAATAATCAGATGTTTTTATATTAGTGTGACCATCACAATAAAAAAGAAACGCATTAAACAATACAACTAAAGTGCACATTGGTGACACTGGTGTGTCTTAAAGTCCAAAAGTTTAAATAAAGCTTCAAGTCAAATAAAATAAAACTATGTATAAAAGATTCAGTTCAGGTTCTGTTTCTGACGCGATAACAATACAAAATCCGCATCACAGATTTTTTGGAGTCGACGTCATCGATTACGTTGACTAATCGTTGCAGCCCTACCACTGGCACAGGTAAAGATGGCGCCTCAGTCGCCCCCTGATGTCCATCAATCCATCTTCACGAAATCTATTCCACACATCAAGCTTGTTTGGGGAGAACCCAACCAATAGCTCAGAGTTGTTAAATCTTATCTATCTCTGATTTAAAGGAACCCAGGGTTTTAGCTTGCACTGCACTAACAGGAAGACTATTCCATTCTCTAACTATACACTGGGTAAAGAAGCAGTTTCTCAAATCCAGTTTAAAATGTTCTCCCGCTAATTTTAACCCATGGCCATGAGTTCTTGTATTTGAACTAATACTGAAGAAGCTATTTGGTTGAACAGCATCCAGACCTGTTAGAATCTTATAGACCTGGATCATGTCCCCCCTTAGTCTCCTTTTCTTGAGGCTGAACAGATTCAGCTCAGCTAACCTCTCCTCATAAGACATTCCTCTAAGACCAGGAATCATTCTTATAACCCTACGCTGAACTCTTTCCAAGGCAGCAATGTCCTTCTTAAGGTATGGTGACCAAACCTGCACACAATATTCTAGGTGGGGTCTAACCAAGGAATTATATAATCATAGCATCACCTCCCTTGACTTAAACTCCACACACCTAGAGATGTAACCCAACATCCTATTGGCCTTTTTAATTGCTTCCCCAAACTGGTGAGAGTGGGACATGGAAGCATCAACATACACACCGAGATCTTTCTCATAATCAGACACATGTATTTCCAAAAAATATCTGTACTTTATATTTCTGCTCCCTGCATGGATTACCTTACATTTATCTACGTTAAATTTCATCTGCCAGGTATCAGCCCAGTCGCTAATTAAAACAAGATCCTGCTGTAGCCTCAGTGCTGCTAGTTCAGTATCTGCTACAAGGAACAAACAGACATTTATAAACAGGCATGAGAAAGATGTAAACACAAAAGAGGTCCCTCAATTTCACCCTAAAGATATGCGATTATACCATATGAGGCTTTATTTTGAATGGGCAAAAAAATCTTCATAGAAAAAGACCTCAAAATATGCTAGAGAGCAAACAAATAAAGAGAAATTAAAAATGAATACATTGCCTTTAATCAGGACATCCTGTTAATCTGCTTACCACCACAAATGGTTGATGATGATACCCATTACTGCAGAGTTAAATATTTACTCGAGTGCGAGTGTGTGTAAAAGTGTGAAAGTGTGAAGCTACAACAAGCCAGCCTGGGTGATGCTCTAAAACCTGGGCCATGACATCACGGGACACCAAGTGTCACAGTAGGAACGGCATTCCCCGGGATCACATGATGAGACAGCGGCTTCTCTGCACAACCAATCACAATATCCAAAGCAGACACACCTCGCACATGTCACAAATAGGCAGACAAACAGGCAGGTAGGTAGTGACAGGCAGGCAGAGACAGGCAGGCAGGCAGGCAGGCAGGCAGAGACAGGCAGGCAGGCAG